TTCTTTCTGTCTCTCTGTCTCTCCAGTGAGTACCCATGCCTTACAGCAAAAACCTCTTAAAAAAAAAAAAAAAAAGAAAAAAACTGGGACCAGCAGACGGAGTAATGGTTACATTACTGGACACCCATGTAGTAGACCACGGTTCAAGTCCTGGCCCCAGCCGCTTAGAACTCACACCGGGCACATGTCCCAAAATCTCAAGAGGAGAATGGGGTTGAAAGGACTGCCCTGTGGCCAACCTCCCAGGGAGGTAATTTCTTTCTGTCTCTCTGTCTCTCCAGTGAGTACCCATGCCTTACAGCAAAAACCTCTTAAAAAAAAAAAAAAAAAGAAAAAAACTGGGACCAGCAGACGGAGTAATGGTTACATTACTGGACACCCATGTAGTAGACCACGGTTCAAGTCCTGGCCCCAGCCGCTTAGAACTCACACCGGGCACATGTCCCAAAATCTCAAGAGGAGAATGGGGTTGAAAGGACTGCCCTGTGGCCAACCTCCCAGGGAGGTAATTTCTTTCTGTCTCTCTGTCTCTCCAGTGAGTACCCATGCCTTACAGCAAAAACCTCTTAAAAAAAAAAAAAAAAAGAAAAAAACTGGGACCAGCAGACGGAGTAATGGTTACATTACTGGACACCCATGTAGTAGACCACGGTTCAAGTCCTGGCCCCAGCCGCTTAGAACTCACACCGGGCACATGTCCCAAAATCTCAAGAGGAGAATGGGGTTGAAAGGACTGCCCTGTGGCCAACCTCCCAGGGAGGTAATTTCTTTCTGTCTCTCTGTCTCTCCAGTGAGTACCCATGCCTTACAGCAAAAACCTCTTAAAAAAAAAAAAAAAAAGAAAAAAACTGGGACCAGCAGACGGAGTAATGGTTACATTACTGGACACCCATGTAGTAGACCACGGTTCAAGTCCTGGCCCCAGCCGCTTAGAACTCACACCGGGCACATGTCCCAAAATCTCAAGAGGAGAATGGGGTTGAAAGGACTGCCCTGTGGCCAACCTCCCAGGGAGGTAATTTCTTTCTGTCTCTCTGTCTCTCCAGTGAGTACCCATGCCTTACAGCAAAAACCTCTTAAAAAAAAAAAAAAAAAGAAAAAAACTGGGACCAGCAGACGGAGTAATGGTTACATTACTGGACACCCATGTAGTAGACCACGGTTCAAGTCCTGGCCCCAGCCGCTTAGAACTCACACCGGGCACATGTCCCAAAATCTCAAGAGGAGAATGGGGTTGAAAGGACTGCCCTGTGGCCAACCTCCCAGGGAGGTAATTTCTTTCTGTCTCTCTGTCTCTCCAGTGAGTACCCATGCCTTACAGCAAAAACCTCTTAAAAAAAAAAAAAAAAAGAAAAAAACTGGGACCAGCAGACGGAGTAATGGTTACATTACTGGACACCCATGTAGTAGACCACGGTTCAAGTCCTGGCCCCAGCCGCTTAGAACTCACACCGGGCACATGTCCCAAAATCTCAAGAGGAGAATGGGGTTGAAAGGACTGCCCTGTGGCCAACCTCCCAGGGAGGTAATTTCTTTCTGTCTCTCTGTCTCTCCAGTGAGTACCCATGCCTTACAGCAAAAACCTCTTAAAAAAAAAAAAAAAAAGAAAAAAACTGGGACCAGCAGACGGAGTAATGGTTACATTACTGGACACCCATGTAGTAGACCACGGTTCAAGTCCTGTACCCAGCCGCTTAGAACTCACACCGGGCACATGTCCCAAAATCTCAAGAGGAGAATAGAGGTGAAAGGACTGCCCTGTGGCCAACCTCCCAGGGAGGTAATTTCTTTCTGTCTCTCTGTCTCTCCAGTGAGTACACATGCCTTACAGCAAAAACCTCTTAAAAAATAACGAAAAAACTACTGTGCAACACAAAGAAAAAGAACTTGGGTAACATTATACTGTATAAGAAACAAATAGGATTGCTCTGTAGTATAAAGTATGTTAGGTTTCTCATAAAACTAGACAGATGTGGGATGAAAAGGTCTGGGTCAGATGGTGGTAGACTGTGAATAGTAACATGGCTACCAGCTTTTGTTTTTGGTTGTTTTAAAGTAAACACAATATTGACAAGTAAAAGGATCTGTGAAAAACGTCATGAAAAACACTTTCGCTCACTATGGGTCTCACTCAGAGTTCAATTTTAGCTATGAATAAAAAAAACAATGTAAAGAATAAAAAGTGATTCAGAAGCATGGCGGTTAAGGCACCAAAATCCCACATGGCTGACTGCTGTTCGAGTCCTAGATCTGGCAGCTTGAAATTCAGAAAAAGTGAGAAAGCAAGCTGCCAGGTCCAGAACTTGAACTATAGTCAGCCACGTGGGAGTCCAGTGCCTTAATCACTATGTCACCTGCTGGCCCCTGCAATCACTTTTCACCAACTAGTGTGGAAGTCTTTAAATGAATTTAAACAACTAAGACAGCAGTGTCAATACCCGCTGGCTACATGCCATCTCTGGCCACTGGCAAGGCAATGACCAATAGCACCAAGCTCTCACCCATGTGAGGCACTGCAGAGCACACCTTACACAACGCCGAAGTGGGCAATGTTAGCATCCCTCCTGTACAGGTGACAAAAAAGACTCATGAGGTTAAACAACTTGCCCGGGTTCATTTTGTTTGCAAAGGATAATAAAGATTTCGATCCCAGGCCTAGTTGCCAGCAAAACTTGGCAGCTCTTTGCTGTTCCATGTTGCTGTCCAAGACGGCCGTCTGACATAGTAAAAGGAAAAATCAAGGGCAGGTCTTATAGCACAGCAGTTAAGTGCTTATACACAGAGAGTTGGATCCCAAATGGCCAATCAGTTTGAATCCCAGCTCTGAAGCACCAGACATGTGTGTGTGTGTGCCCCAAATACTGAGGGGTAAAGAAATGGAGGAAAAAACATCAACGCAAGAACACGCCCCATGGGGTGGGGGGGTTCTTTCTCTCTGTCTATCTGGCAAGCACATACATTCTCTGGCAATTAAAAAAAAAATTTAAAAGGGAAACTCAAAACAAACAGTAAAGAAATGCAGATTACATTTAGCAATAGGGTGGATTTTTTTCATCTCTTTAAAATTCCAAATGTGTTTTTTTTTTTTTTGGAGAGAATTTTGCTATAGGCCGTGTGTGCTAGCCAGAAAGAGAGACCGAAAGCAAGAAATCACCCCCCAGGGGCGATGGCCACACTATAATCCCTTTTCCTCCATTCTCCTCTTGGGATCCTGGGCAAACATGCACATGCATCCGGTGTGAGTTTAAGCCACCGGGTCTGGGACTCGAACCGCAGTGGACTACATGGGAGTCCAGCAACATAGCCATTATGCCAACTGCTGGTCCCAAAATTCCAAATGTTTTATAATTTGATTATATTACCTTTATAATAAATAAGGAAAACTGCACCATGAGAAACTTTGTAACAGATAGGATTCTTAAACACTGGAAAGAGTTACCCAAGTAAAGTTCCAAGTTGTTTAATACATTTTTCTCTTCTTAAAAATAGGATATTTTTAATCTGTGTGAAATGGTTCAACTGAATAAACAAAGTCACCAGTTATAGCCCTTTCTAGCACCAGGATTCTATAATATATTGTCAGTCCTATATCAAACAAACAGAAAAATTACCAGTCTATAAATTATGGAGAAGTGAAGGCATTCACTTACTTATTCACTCAGTCAATATTCACTGCCTGCCTACTACACGTCAGATGCTGGAAGTTGCAGAACTCCAAGGGAGTCAAGAATTTCCTTCACAGAGCTATGGCAACTCCAAGATGGTAATTCGTCCTTGGCCTAAAGATAAACGCTGTCTGCTTTTAAAGCAACAGCAAGGTGATGAAGGGCAGAGTGCTCTGGCTCCAGGCCTAGTAACAGTAGTCAAGGATCACGACCACTAGAGAAGGGAGGGTGTACTAGTCCATTCTGGAGCTTCAACATGAGTTCACCTCCACCTGGGGTAAGATCAACAATCGAATAGAGAGCCCTTAGAAAGCAGCATGACCTAGGGAGACACTCTGGCCCTGGGATAGTTTCTGCATCATCTGCTGGGAAGTTGTTACTTCTTTCTTTCTTTCTTTCTTTCTTTTTTTTTTTGGGGGGGGGTTGCTATGGGGTGTGTGTGCTTGCCAGAGAGAGACAAAGAAAGCGAGAAATCACCCCCCAGGGGGGATGGCCATGCTGCAATCCCTTCTCCTCCATTCTCCTCTCGGGATCTTGGACATGCACGCACACGTGCCTGGTGTGAGTTTAAGCCACTGGGCCTGGGACTCGAACCATGGTCAACTACATGGGAGTCCAGCAACGTAGCCATTATGCCATCTGCTGGTCCTGAGAAGTTGTTATTTCTTTAGGTCCCTTGGGGAAGAAAAGCCTAGCCACAAATGATTGAGAAGGAAATCAATTCTGGAAGTTAGCTGATCTTGAAATCTTACTGTTAAGGAAAGGAACCTACAGTTTAACCAAACTGTACCTGTGAGAAGACAGTGCTAAAAGTTCAAGAATGTCACAGTACAAGCTATGGTTCCAGAACACACTACCACCATCACTACATGCACTTTGGTACTTCTGACTGGAGAACATCCTCCTTATCTAAAAACAGTCTGTTTAAGCCCCAGTATGTTAAATAAATAATATTTGCTTAGAAGGCACAATGAGGACCTTTAATTTCAGGAATATAAAAATTTCCATATTCATAATAGATGTTTGAACTCCATCATACCTCCCTGTAAATAAATATCCATTAAAATTTCCATAAACACACATCCCTACAGATGCTTTCATTGTCCTTTATTGTTTTGTTCCTCAGTCAAGTCAACTTAATGTCCTTAGAACTCGGCCCCTTTTGTTATTTCTTCAAATTGCTAAGTAGATATTAAAAAGTGTTCAGTGCGACAGTCTGGTGAAAAATGTAAGCTCTTTTAAATCAATTGTTAGGCTCCACCCTGTCTAGAAAAGCAGGACCCTACATTCTCAATGTGTTAGTCAAATGCCCCCTACATATGCTACTAATCTCACCTTCGATATAGCTTGGACTGTCCAAAGGTCATAATCACCAGTGGTACATGGAAGGTAGTCAAAACAAGAATGACCTAGAGAGAAACCAAAGCATTCCATCAATTAGAAAGACATTCCAATTACATGCTAGCTTGTGATTAAATCACCACCTGGAAGACTGTTGATAGCCCTACTTCATAGTAGGTTGTATTGTAATATATCTAAAAACCAGGGACCAGCAGTTAGCATAATGGCTACGTCGCTGGACTCCCATGTAGTTGACCACGGTTCGAGTACCAGACCCAGTGATTTAAACTCACGCCAGGCGCGTGTGCATCCGTGCTCAAGATCCCAAGAGGAGAATGGAGAAGAAGGGATTGCGGCATGGCCACCTCCCCTGGGAGGTGATTTCTCACTTTCTGTCTCTCTTGTCTGTCTCTGTCTGTCTGGTGAGCGCAAGCGCCCTATAGCAAAAACCTCTCTTTAAAAAAAAAAAAAAAAGAACCTATTATAGAGTCTACGATGATTCAAGAAGTCTTCAGCTCAGTTTGTTGGGATGATCCTCATTGCTTATACACTTGAAGCAGTGAGGCAAAGCTACTTGTATTCACATCTACAATAAAGGAAGGATTTAACTATTTGGCAATAGTAAGGTAAGATCATCAATGCTATAGTGAGATAGTTCCAGATCAGAATCATCTGTTTTCTGTGTGCAGAGGCTAGGATAAAGCAGGTGATCTCACAGAGGTCACTGTGTCATACTGGCCTTTCTTCATCCTGTCAGCTCTCCATGAAATTCTTTTTTAAAAAATAATTATTTTTGGAGGCCAGCAGGTGGCATGGTGGTTAAGGGTGCTGGACTACTACATGGTTGACTGCCATTTGTGTCCCGGACCTGGCAGCTTGCTTTCTTTCTCACTTACTCTCTCACTCTGTCTTTGTCTCTGGTCTAATTAAAAAACAAATAAGTGAAATAAAGTTAAATAAAATAATTCCTTAAAATAATAATAATAATAATTACTTTTCCACAGGGAAAAGAAATGCATGAGGAAAGGATTCTGGACAGATTAGTAAAAGAATCTACTGAATGGGTAGCCTCAAAAAAAACCACATAATAAGAAATCTTAGAGATACCAACTAATTTAGATAATGGATAAATCATGGAAATTAAGGTACAATTCAAATTTTGGAAGAAATACAGGCATGTTTACAGAAAGTCTACTGAAAGTTTTTTAAATTAATTAGAATAAACTTACAATTTTGGGGGGGACCAAAATTTCATACTTCCTTAGATTTCTGATATTTTCTTATGTGCCTTGATGCTATGACACACCCATCACAGAAATAACAGAAGGCATGAACATGGCCCCGGCTCTTGTCCAGGCAGGATAACCAAGCCAGGGAACACCAAGCCCTGGTTTAAGACCCGAGGCCAACGATCCCTCAGCATACCCTACTGGACAGCAACCAGCTGCACAGTAGGAGGGATAAGGAGTTGACTGACTGTCTATCCAATCCTGGCTGTACCTCCTCTGTGGCTGGGGCAGGGGCAGGGGCAGGAGCAGCACATGGAGTTGAACCACCACGAGCCCATGGGTGCCATAGTCTTTCAACATGGCTGTGGGAAAGGACACAGAACAATAGTTCGGAGGAAGAATGCCGTAACGTCTACTGCGCACTATTCTGCTTCTACACAGGGGTTTCCCTTCTCAGCACAGAGCTGTCTTTCCTCTCTCTGCTTCTTGTTCATCTTGATGCTAAGCAGTCACTAAGGACAAGTCTTCCTATCAGACAAGAAGTTGGTCTCAAGATGTTCCAAATTCCAGGGCAAAACCACACCACTACAGTTTCCTGGAGGTCGGCCTGGCAAACACATCTTCTATGACTGAAGCCGAGGACGATTTCAGAAAAGTACTAATATTTAGTGCTTAAACTCCCCAAACTTACACCATGCTCTTGCTAGGCTGAAATAAGACTCAAAATGTTACTTACCCCAGTGCTATCTCCAACCCAGGACAAGGATACTGAGCCACTGAGATCATCGAACACATGCTAAAAGGGGAAGAAAAAAAAAAGCATTTATAAATGACATCTACTCTTCTTTAATCTTTGACTTCCTTAAATAATTCAGAACTTTATTGCTATTCAGAGTAATTAAGCTCACAATTATAAGGGGATATGGATTCCCAGAACAAAATTTGAGAGAGATGGGATTTAACTACTTAACCTGAATCACAAACTTGAAAATTAAAATTTTTCTCTTACAAAAAGTGGGCCAAACAGATGAGTTTTCTTCACAGCACCATATGGGGAGATGCAATAATCGAATTGCTTTCTCCGATAGAATGAAATATAAAGATATCACAAAGTATTCTTAGGATGCTTTAAAACAAGAGATCATAGCCCACAATGACATACATAACTGTAACTCTAGTTGGCATAATTTAATTTATTTCTAGGCAGCCTACACGGTATAGTTGAACATTTATTAGCTGGATTCCTTTTGCTTTAGAATAACTCACTTAAAATGACAAGGGACACGAACAAGATGCATATGGCTTGCTTCATCTTTTTATTTAATAACATTATTATAGTAAGGGCTGGCCCTGTGGACTAGTTGTTAAGGGAGCTGGATCCCACATGGTTGACTGTGTAGTTTGAATTCCAGTCCACACCTTGAAAAATACACCAGGTACGTGAGTATGTATTCCCCAAATCCCAAGAGGATAGAAAAATGGAAAAAGGACTACAGTATGACCATGTCCTATTGTGGGAGTGCTTTCTCTCTCTCTCTTTCTCTCTGTTCCTCTGTCTCTCTCTGGTGAACACATGCACTCTTTGGAAATTAAAAAAAGAAATTAATAATAATAGTATAACAACCTTACCAGGGTTGTGGTGAGAATAGGAAGACAAAAAAGAGAGAGCTGGTGTATTATATCTGAAGTATAGTAAACATATTAAAATGTAACTTTTTAAAGAATTATTTAATTTAAATTTAGTTATTTATTTCATTTTAATTTGACCTGAGATGGACAGAGAGAGAGAAAGTGAGAAAGCAAACTGCCTGTTCCGGGACCCAAACCATAGTTGGCCATGTGGGAGACCAGTGCCCTTCACTACACTACCTGCGGGCCCCAAAATATAGTAAGAATCAGTGTGGGTGTTTTTAGATTTCTATTTTCGAATATTCCTTTTTTCTATTTATAAAATGATACATATTCACTATAGAAAACAGCCAAATATAACAAAGTATACTAAAGAAAACATAAGTCATTCATAAAGTTACTGTTCAGAGATATTAGAAGTTGATTATGTGTGCATTCTTTTAGTCTCTATCATTTTTTAAACTGATAATAAAAAGTCAAGGAGGCAATACCAATATTTGGTAAAAAGTTCTAATGATACAGAAATTATATACATATATGTATGTGTGTGTATACATTTTTTTTGAGAGAGGGATTTTTGCTATAGGGTGCATGCACTTGCCAGAGAGACAGAGAGGGACAGAAAGTGAGAAATCACCCCCCAGGGGAGCTGGCCACGCTGTAACCCCTTCTCTTCCATTCTCCTTTGGGATCTTGGTCATGCATACACACACGCCTGAAGAGAGTTTTAAGCCTCCAGATCTGGGACTCAAACTGCAGTCGATCACGTGGGAGTCCAGTGACGTAACCATTATATCATCTGCTGGTCCCTGGAAATGATATATTATACATAGTATATATAGCAAAAAGTGAAAATCCTTTCCTTTTCTCCAATCCTCATTCCTCAGAAGGCTTAATAATTTCATTTATGTTTCTACTAAACATTGATTATGTTTTTTTCTTAAGAAGACTTGTATCTTATTAAGATTTTAAAATCTTAAGCATGCCCTGAATTCCCAAATATGAGAAGTTCCTTACAAGCAGAGGGTGTAACCTTATACTTCTTGGTACTCCCAGTGCCTACCACAGGGATACTTTGCACACTCAATAAGCATTTGTTGAAAATGATCACATATCCTTCCCAAACCACAAGCTCCATCTCAAAATAGAACACGTCTATAAATGGTGGGATGCCAGCTACTTGGTCACTCAAGCCACCAAACCAAATGAAGTCAGAAGAAACAGAACTCAAATGCAAACTGTTTTGCTTATCTTCTAATTTTCTCTCGTGGTCCTCCTGAATAAGCCTCTGAATTCACCTAGGCTATTTCTCCTCGGACAGTACGGACTTCTGAGGTCAAAAGAATCTCTGTACAATCTCTGTAAGTATTACAATTAGTGCCTCACACAGGGCTTACTCAGTAAATGCTGTTTAACCCTCAAATGCTCTGGCAGAGCTTCGTAGAGCCTCGCCAGGGCAGAAAGGTTATTCATATGTGTCGGCTCACAGAGCATCTGAGAAAAGGTATGCTGCTAGAGACACCTGGAACGGAAAGCTTAAAAACTGACAGAGTAGTATGTCTAGTAAAGTATTTCACACAGAGTAAGGCCACATGTTCTCTTGAGCAAGGATAAGGTGTCTGAAATTACATCAATGAGCTCCTCGAGGAGGAGCAGGAATACTCAGAATGTCAGACAGACCACATCTAAACACAGGTTATCTTTCCAAATGTTCTGGTTACAACTGACTAGGATAAAAGAAAAATCCCATTAACTACAGCACTGGAGTTCATGGGGATCCTAATTAGGGCATAATACAGTCAGTCTTGAGCCAATCAGGGCTCAAGAAACTTTCTTCTCAGGCAATGTTCTACATACCTGACCCAGCTGGTAGAATGGCATTAGCCACATTTTCCTATTGCTCAATCACAGAACGAGGAGGATTACCAGGGGTCACTAGCAACCCTCAGCTTCGCCTAAACAACTGAAATGGTAATCGACCTCATTTACCATCCAGAGTTCCTTTGGAAATGTAGGCCAGATTTATTAACTATAAACTGTGGTTCTTCTGCTATTTTTAACCTTCCCTCCTACCTCCTTCCAATAGTCAATTAACATTGGCTTTTGAAAATGTACAAACTCATTAAAAAGATTCATCCACTTACAGCAAATATAACTGTTTTATATTTTACCTCTAACATTTTTTTTTAATTGCCAGAGGGTGCATGTGCTCACCACAAAGGGACAAAGGGAAAGATGGAGAAGACACCCCCCAATGGGGCGTGGTCATGCTGCGATCCCTTCTCCTCCCATTCTCCATCCTGATGGGATTTGGGGCATGCAAACACAACAAGCCAAGCATGTATTTCAAGCTGCTGGGGCTGGGATTCAAACCACAGTTAGCCATGGTTAACCAGGTGGCTCCCTTAATGACTAGACTATGAGGTCAGTCTTCTAATATTTTTATGCTAGTGAAAAGTTAAAAGGAAAAAGAAAAAAATCGGATCTAACAGCAGAGCAAAATCAAGTGGAAAGTCATATGAAAGGAGATAAATCCAAGAAAGTTGGGGGGCCAAGAGTACAGATTCAATTCTTTCTCTTCTCTCTTCTTCTATATGAACCAGGTTTAGGGTATACATGCTAAATATGCAATAAATTGTAGGCTAGAATGATTAGAACCTCTTGGAAAAGGAGTTAAGTTTCTTTTAAAGCCTATTAAGTATGGGGGCCAGCAGGTGGCATGGTGGTTAAGGTGCTGGACTCCCACATGGCTAACAGTGGTTCAAGTCCCATGTCTGGCATCTTAAAATAAAGCACTGGGTGCATATGCATGTGTGCCCCAAATCCCAAGAGAATGGAGGAAAAGGGATTGTGGTGTAGCCATATCCCTTGGGGGGGGGCTGATTTCTCACTTTTCCTCTGTCTCTCTCTCTAGCGAGCACACGTGACCCATGGCCAAAAAAAAAAAATCTAAAAAAAAAACTATAACTACTGATTTAACTTACTTAAAGAAACATTGTTATTATAGTTGAGGTGATAATGTTATTTTATTTATTTATTTATTTATTTTTGGAGAGATTTTTGCTATAGGGTACATGTGCTCACCAGAAAGACAGAGAGACAGAGAGACAGAAAGTGAGAAATCCCCCTCCAGGGGGGATGGCCATGTTGCAATCCCTTCTCCATTCTCCTCTTGGGATTTTGGGTATGCACGCACAAATGCCTGGCGTGAGTTTAAGCCACTGGGTCCAGGACTCAAACTGCAGTCAACTACATGGGAATCCAGTGACAAAGCCATTATGCCAATTGCTAGTCCTTGTTGTTGGTGTTATTATTATTATTTTACAGTTGATAAAATTAAAATGCACCAGTTATTAAAGAGACTCAGTTACAAAAATTAACAAACAGGCTACTTGGTTAAAACACACTGACTTCTCATCTGGCTCATTCTTTTTTTTTGGCTCCTCAATCCTATCTTTTCAGTTGGAGAAGGAATATGGATGCCCAGGGAAAAGGGGACAACCAGCTTGTGGCACGCAGACAAAATTCACAAGGGT